CCACCCCCTATGAAAGCCCGTCTCTGTGATGGGGTGGGCTGCTGACACGTTCTCTCAGACACACACACACACACACACACACACACACACACACACACACACACAATGAAAGCCCGTCTCTGTGATGGGGAGGGCTGCAGACACGTTCTCTCAGTCATGCCCTTGGCTTTACTAGAGTGCCTTCCAAAAAACCGTCCAATCAAAACAGGCTTCCAGGGGGCTCTGCGGGTCTGTGAAACTCAGGGCAGGGGAAGGAGCTGAGAAGGTTGTGGGGACTGGTTTGTTGCCTCTGGGTCTGCACTGGGGTAATCTTGGTAGATTTTCTCCAAGGGCGCAGGATGATCATGGGTGAGTAAGAAGTTTGAAGAAAACGGAAAATTGCACCGTTGAGAATTTCCTTGGGAAACTATCCACCCTACCATTGTGATCTTGCCCCTTCAGACTTCTTTCCATTCCCCAAACCCCAGCCACCTCTAAAGGAAGCACAATTTGTGTCCCTTGGGTATATGAAAACTGCCATGCAGACCACGGAGTGGCCGTGGGAAATGGCAATGTTGGCTTGAAGAATTCATTGGGCAGGAGGCTGAGCAGGATGGAAACCACGTTCAAGTGTATAGACCTCGAGTGTCCCTCTAAGGTGTAGCGTCTTCCCCCCTCTGGGGCACAGGAGAGACGAAAAGCAGAGGAGCCCTTGCATGGAGACCAGAAGGACATGGTGCCAGAGGACCACTGTGGACTGCGAGTAAAGGGGCACCACAGGAGGTCCTGGGCAGAGTGGGAGAAAATGTGGAACAAACCTCAAAGCCGTAAGACAAAACCAACGACGAGGCTTAGCGGATACTGGCAGACACCCTATGGCCCTTCCAGCTCAGTGGCTCCATGCTCAGTTAAACAATAGAAAAGTCTCAATCGTGGACAAGAATGCCTTGGAACAATCAACAGTGCGACAGGAACAGGGGAGCATTTTCCAGGGACAAAGCCCCGAAGGCAGGACTGGATAGGGCAGGAGGTACCCACACCATTACATTGTGAGGACCGCAATCAGTGTCATGAGCAAAATGTGTGTAGATTACTGAGTGGAAAACCAATTTGCTCTGTAAACTTTTACCCAACTCCCTCATCTAGACACCCCGCCCCCAGCTATGTATGAATGCACAAGGCACGGAGGGAAGAAAAAATCCACCGAGACCCGGGTGGAGGGTATGTTGAGAAACAGTAGCTTCACATCGACCGATAGGGCCATTTCACATGTTGGTAACATTGTGGTTTTGTGGCAACGATTTCTGACACAGCCTCATGCTTGCTTTTGCTTCTACCGCACCCCGACTCTGCCTGGTGCTCAGGGTATGGGCGGCACCGGCCTGTGGAGAGAGGGGAGTGATCTGGACTCCCAGCAACTCCACGCCCGTGGGCCCTTAGACCGAGAACTTGGCTTTGCTTCCTCTGTAAGTCCCGATTTAAAGACATGTACAAAACAGCAAACAGGCGCACACAGGCACCCAGTACTCTACAGGCACCCCACATGCCGCCCGTTGGGGTGCTGTTGTGCACTAGGCTTCACGGGAACTTCTCAGGGGTCCTCTCCCCACCAGGCAGTGGCTCTTGGTGCAGAACACACCCCGGGTCAGAGTTGCTTCTCTGGCACCTTTCAAACTACACTGCTACTCCTCCCTCAGAACAAAGCAATTTTCTCCTCCCTCACCACACTGCTGCTCAACTAGCTCCACGACGTAGCCAGGTTTGGGAAATATAGATTCCAGAAGATCGAATGAGTCGGCAGGGGAGTTAGGGCTCTGGCGTACAGGGGTCAGTGTGAGATAGGAGACCCCCCAAAGTCCCTACCCTGAAATCCAGAGGCAGCTGACTGCCTGAAAGGCTGGCAGAGACTCTAAATGGGATTCTACCTCTTCCAGGTGTTGCCACCTGTGGACATGAAGGGAGAAGCAGCTCCCTGTGCTCAGTGGTGGAGCCCTCCCCCTGCCAGCATGTAGCAGATGAGGGTGCTGGTGTCGGCCTCAGCACCTGGACTGCAGTGATGTGATTACACAGGCACTTGGGAGCTCAGCTGCCGGGAGAGCCAGTTTGCTGGCCATGTGCTGGGGGCAGCAGAGCCAGTGGGGGTCTGAGGGCACCCAGGCCAGCGAGGAGCACACTTACGGTTTTGCCGCCCTTGCCAATCACCCGGCCAGCTGTGGACGAGGGCACACGGATGTGGGCTTCTAATTTCACCTCTTCCTTGGGGTTAAAGAAGTTCTCTTCTTTCAGTTTCCCAAAGATCCGCCCCTGGGCCTGGGAGAGCAGGCAGGACTGTTAGGGACTGACTGTGTACTCCCCCCAAACCACCCACCAAACACGAGTTCTCAGTCCTCCAACACAGAGGGTCTAGCCCCTGGGGAAAGGGGCTTTCTTTTGTTATGTTGATGGGATCTATCATCAACAGGGTGTCTCTCATGAGATCTAAAAGGAGATTAAGCAATGGCGGGAAGCCCCTCAGCTCAGGGGCGCTGCCAGGCCACATGAAGGTCCCCAGGAGCCAAGGAATGCTGGGTCAGGGGTGCTGCGAAGAGACAAGGACCATCCCTCAGGGCCAATGGACAAGGAGCACCTTCGGCAGCCAGTGCCGGGACTTGGACGTGGGCGAGTGGATTGGCTCCTGAAAGCCTTGCCCCCGTGCCATGGCTGCGCTAGGTCATTAAGGCAGCCCAGGGGAACTGGGCCGTGACAGACGACTTCCTTGCCCGCCTTCCCGGAGAGAGAAGGGGTAGAGGGCTTGCAAGCAGAGCAGCTGACAGGGAGGGAGGGCGGGCAGGCAGAGCGAGCCTGGGACCCAAAGACGGAGCCTGGGGCGTGATTCTGAGCTGGGTGCCACCTGCCACAAAGACCTGCGCTCCCCTAGACAGGCTGAGGGGGCTCTCGGAACTGACCTTGAACTGGGCTTCAGGAGGTCCAGTGATGATGACCATCCTTTCACTCACATCCGGGCCTTCCGCAGGGGCAATCTATCATTCACAAAGAAGGAAGCAAGATGGAAGGTTGGCTGGCCCTGCCAAGCCCCCATCATGGAGGTGGGGGCACACACTGCAGGAGGGAAACGGCAGAGCTTCCGATCCTGGGCTGGAGCCTCAAGTGACCGACCCCCTGCTGCCACCACCTGCATCTCCGGAAGTCCATCGTGCCCAAGCCACTGCTGGGGAGTCAGCAGTGACTGCCTGTCTCCGCTCCAAGCAGCAGACTCCTTCCACTGAGCCGTGTCTTAGGCGAGAAGCAGGGAGCCCACGGCCCTAAGAAGGGGCTGATGCAGGCTCTGTCTGCCCACCCAGAGCCCCAAGGGGATCGAGCCGGGGCACAGAGGTGATGCACAGCGGCAGCGCGGCGTGGGGTGCGGGGCAGAGAACACTGAGCTAACCCTGGGCCTCCGGCAGCATGGCCGCACCACCCCTGAGCAGGCACCAGGACCCTGGGGGCAGGCAGGCACCGCCCCCCAAACATGGCCTCACCCATTCGTGACATTTCCTGGAAGCCCAACCCCCTCCGCGCCCTTTAACTTAGCGGGGGGGCTGGTTATTCGAACCACGGCTCCAACGTGTATTTTTGGCTTGTTTGGTGCACGCGGCCTCGGTGCTGCCGCGTGAACTCCGTGAGTGTACGACAGGACCCAACGCCGCCCGGTCCGCCGCGGCCTCCCAACTGCCCACTGAGGCAGCCACCGTGTCCATCCATCTTCTCCCCGGCGCGGACCCTCACTCGGCCAAGCGCGTCGTCCCTTTCCAAGAACCGGGCTCCGTGAACAAAGCTTTCAAAAGACGTGGGACCGAGTCTCGCTGTGCCGCCTGCGCTTTTCTGGAGACAGGTATCAGTTCTCCTGGCAGTCCCGGGCACCGCCAGTCTTCGTCATCGTTACCCTAATTCAAATGCACCACTTCTCCTTCACGCTGCCCAAGAAACTGTTAGGTAGCTAGGAGGGTTCGAGCTTCCCGCCAGGTAAGGGTGGCACGTCTGGATTGGCCCATCTGGGCCAGGTGCATTCAACTCAACCAGTGGGGTGGACCAGGATCGTACACCACACCTCCTGACAGAGGAACTTAGGAGAATCCGGTGCCCACTGAGTCTTTTTCTCCTCTTCAGCAGTTTCGTGGGTGAAGGGCCCTGGGGTGCCTGTGTAAACCTGAAACTTCTTTCACCTTTCATAAAACTCACTTGGATCACAATCCAGGCTTCGGAGTGAATTCTTTCTCGTGGGAAGCCAAGGACCAAGGTATTTCCCACCCGGGGAAACCTAACAAAACCAAATGGTCTATTGTACAGCAAATCTGCTGTACAAGACCTCTTTAAAGTGTGGACGGGAACGAATGTCCCATTGAGGGCTAAGGTGTGCTTGATCAAAGCCATGGTATTTCTTTTTCTTCTTCAGGAAGTTCAATTTTTATTTGGTGGGTACAAGTGAGGTGGCACACAGAGCACCCAAGCCCTCTTGGCCAAGGGACCACGGTGAGGGATGTGGTTGACCACCAGCCAACCGGGATGGGGTGCTTCTCAGCCACCACGTCCTCAAACTCCTCCGCACTAAACTTGGTGAAGCCCCACTTCTTGCAGATGTGGATCTTCTGGCACCCAGGGAACTTGAACTTGGCCTTGAGTAAGACCTCAGTCACAGGCTCCTTGTTTTGAAGCTTGGTGTGGATGGGCATGATGACCTGGCCAATGTGGACTCGAGTCACCCTGCCTTGAGGTTTCCCCAAAGGACCTGGCATCCTAGTTTGGAGTCTAGTTTAGGGAGTACAGAAATTAGACGGGCCAGAGCCATCAAAAAGCTGCCTCCAGGGTCCCTTAGGGCAGCCTATACATACCCAAAGGCTGCACACACTACCGAGGGGGCTTGCTGTTGCACCTCCAGCAGGGTGCACACACTACTGAGGGGGCTTGCTGTTGCACTTCCAGCAGGGCAAAGGCACCCTGGACCGTGGGTGGGAATCGCCACCCGGAGCCAGTGCCATCTCTGCTCGGTGTTCGTGAGGGATCAGCAGGAACACGTGGCACCCAGCTCTCACTGACCCCGCTGGGCAGGCCACACACTGATTCACAGTGCCCGTGACCAAGTCAGCTCTGCTGTCCCGTCTACCTCCTACAGACATGCAGCCACCGCACCCAGTGCTGAAGGAACCCCCGACGACTTCTCTCTCTGCGGCCTAGCAGTCTGGCTCTGACCGGAAGTCCAGGAGAGCCCGTGTAGCCTGCAGTCCAGAGGGGCATTGCAGCATGAAGGCAGGATCGGATCTTGGCCAGGCTGGGGAGCCCTCTGGTTTCCCAGGCCCAGCTGTTGTCTCAGCCCATTCCAGGGCAAAGGACCTATCACCACGCAGCCTTGCCAGTACATGGAAGAGCTGTGGGGAGATGTGGTGAAGACCAAAGCACAGACGCCCTCCTCTCTTGTTTCCAAAAGTCCCTATGAGGATGACTCCTAGGCTGCGGACACACATGCTAGGAGAGGAGACTGTCCTCGTCAGGCACCATGGGGTCAGTCCCGCCCCACAGCGACCTCAGGCACAACAGAAGGAAACAATAGCGGTCCTGCACCACCCTCCCAATCGTCCTCATGTCTGAGCCCCTTGTTGCAGCGGCAGTGTTGACCCATCTCATTGAGGACCTTCCTCTTTTGCGCTTCCCCTCTACCAAGCATGACGTCCTTCTCCAGAGACTGGTCTCCTGGCAACACGTCCAAAGCGTGTGAGACAGTCTCGCCGTCCTTGCCTCCAAGGAACGTTCGGGCTGTTTGCTTGTTCCTTTTGGGGGCAGTTCTTCTCCAGCACGATGGTTCTAATGCGCCGATCCTTCCTTGTTCAATGCCCAACTTTCACGGGCAGCGAGGGTTATCTACCAAGTACCACCCTCGCTTTCCAGCACTTCAAAGAGCTCTTGCTGTGCAGCAGGTTGATCCAGTGCCAGGCGGCCTTTGATCTCGACTGCTGCTTCCATGCGCACCGACTGTGGATCCATGCCAGACGGAGTCCTTGGCAACTTCCCTCCCTTGTCCATCCACTTACCGCAATGTTACCTACTGGCCCACTTGTGAGCACTCTGGTCTTCTTGACACTGAGTTGTCATCCACCCTGAAGCCTGCAATCCTTGATGTTCATCAGCAAGTCCTTCAAATCCTCCTCACTTTCAAAGAGCAAGGTTGTGTCATCTGCATAGGGCAAGTGGTCAATGTCTTCCTCCACTGCTGATGCCACATATAAGCCAGACTTAGCAAGTCTCAGCTTTGAGAGCCTCCAGCTCCGTGGCACTGGGCAACTCAGTGAATTCTCTGGGGCCAGCTTTCATTGTGAACCATGCTTTCCTCCCAGGCACGGAGTTCAGTAGATCAGGAAGCTGGTACGAGTCACGGCCGTGATGAGCCCAGCAGGTGCTCAGGGTCCTGTAGGCCAGGCGACTAGATGTCTTAAGAGCAAGCCAGCCCTGTTACTGACAAGACAGCTGTGTGCCTCTATCTCAGCTAAAAGATGGGGAGACTTCATGCGATGGCCCTTCGAGTCTCTGTGAGTTCCTATCGTCTCTCTCTCTGTTCCCTCCTGTCCAGCATCTCAGGCCTCAGCGCTGGGCACTGGCAAAGGCCCTTGGGACACAGCCAACAAGGGCCCTCTGCACTTTCTCCCTCTCACCAAAGGAGCAGGAACCAGGCCTCTCCTGCGTCAAGCCGCTGGGTGTACAGGGCGGGGTACTGCATTCCCCACACTCCTCAGGGGTCTCCCCCTCCCCCAGCTACCTAGTGAGATGAGGGGCGGGGCGTGTGTGACACCCCAGGACCGTTCTTTCCGCCCTCACTACAAGCCTTGTTCTGCCTGACTGGGAATGCTGTCCACCCCCACCCCCCACCCCCATCCCAACAAGCACACTTGCTGTGGGAGAAACTCCAGCTCTTCTGGGGGAAGAAAGTATTCTTTCTCTCCAAGTCACGGGACTGCCCGCTGGGACCGCCAGGTTGTCTCATGGTAGCAACTGACTTTACGTAATAACAGCAGCTATTTCCCAACGGGCTCCGTGAGCGTGGTGAGCTTGGCGTTCGGCCTGTGTGTCAGCGCGGGTAGCAGGTGCAGGGCCAGGGCCGAAGAATCCTCTCCTTTTGGCCTCTCCAACCGTGGGCAGATGTGCGTCTGTACCCAGCCACTTCCATAAACCAAGGGGTCTTCCTTCCAGGCTGCTCGCCCCAGCCCTCTGCTCATGCCAGCTCTGCCGCCAGCTTCTGGGGAGCTCGGTTCCACCATCCATTTCCCAAGAGGTGTTCTTGGTTTCACAAAGGGCAAGGGTGTCGGCAGCAGAGACTAATTCAAGGATCATGGCACTGAAAGCTGTGTCAGAAACAACTCTCTGACTTGCTTCCCTCAGCAAGGACCCTCCGCTTCTCCTCCTTGTCCGACTCTCTGTTACTGATGTTTCTTGGTAATTTGCTCACTAGTTGAACAGAACAAGGGTTCCTGGGAGGTGGGGCAGGGGAGGGGGGGAGGGGAGCTGATATCAAGGAGTGCAAGGAGGAAGGAAATGTTTGGAAACGATTGTGGTAGTGATTGTACAACACTGCTCGATATGACTGAGCTATGGAGCTGTGAGGTGTCTGGATTAGCTTCTAGTAAGATGGTTTGGTCAAGCATAAAAAGCACCAGTTGAAGAGGGAACAAGAGGGAGACGGGAAGAACAGATGAGCGGAGGAGACGGGAATCGTTACAAGGGAAAAGGTTCTAGGCCCTGTGGCATGACGCCTCTGGGTGGCATCAGCAAGGGCTGTGGGGGATGGGGAGGCCCCAAACAGCTGCCGAGAGCTGCCTTACCTTGATCGAGGCCCCGGCGAATCGAGCCAGCTGTTTAATGTGGGCCCCCTTCTTCCCGATGATGGCGCCCACCGCCTGGGTGGGGATGAAGAGGTTGACGATCTCCTGCTCCGGGTACTGGAAGAGCAAGACGAGAGAGAAAGCATCCTTCCTAACGGCTCTGCGTGCAGACACCGACGGTTCCCAACACCTACATGTGTCCCCTGGTGGGGGCAGCCCCAGCACCCCAGCATTGGCCAGCAGGCACGTGAGGCTCTTCTCGTGGGCCCAGGGCTTGGCGGGTGTGGTGCCAGGGTAGTGACTCTGAACACGGGCAGGATTCCGAGGCACCCACGGGGCAAACCTCGCCAGCATCGGGGGTTTGCAGGGTCAGGTTTCACCAGGAGGGTGAGGGGTCACCCCCACTGGTCAGGAGCTCACTCTTTCAACCTATATATAGGAGTGGGGAATGTTTTTGCTGGAAACATTTGTTTATTTTGATAAAATGCAAATAACAAGCTATTCGCCATTTCAGCCCCTTTGACATGCACAATTCAGGTTTGCACATCTAAGCAGGAGCCTGCTAAGGGCCCACACGATGGCCACGGGGAAGCCAGCCCATCAGTCTCCCAAGGGCCTTGGGATGGTTCTCCCCGAACAGCTGCTCACCCAGCTCCGGTGTCACCATCTCTCTGAAGGCTCCCCCAGCATCTCCTGGGAGGAGGCCAGGCTTCTGTGGGGCTCCCCTGGTCCTAGTGCAGCTCTGTGCTTGCGAGCAAGTCCCCCAGGCACAACCTGGCTGACCCTGCATCACGGGCACCCCATGAGTGTCAGGGGAGAATCCTGTTCCACAGAGTTTCCAAAACCCAATTTTAAAAGCAGGCCGAGCACATCTGGGACCTCCCTGTCAGATTCGGGGCGCCTTCCAAGTGAGGGGAATCATTCCTATGTTCCTGCCGTAGCACTAACGTCTTCCAGGCATGAAGCACTGTGTCAATGACCAACACACAGGAAGAACCACTTCTTAGGACTGGGCACCCACTGGCAGAGGTGTTAGCGGGAAGATGGGCCCTACAAGAACACTGGGCCTCACTCAGGTAAGGCTGGGATGGGGCAGCGAGAGGGGGCCAGGCTGGGCAGGGCTGGTTAAAGCGTTCTGAATTCTCAACGCACAAAGAGGGCCAAAGGGCCGAAGCCAATCACATATAGACAGGCCGACCTGCTTCGTCCAGTTTCGACCTGCTTCGTCCAGTTTCGAAACACCAGGGAAATGAACCAGGAATGAAGGGCCTGGGGTAGGCGCTGCCCCTGTGCCAACAGATCAGTCCTTCCATTATAGGCCACAGGGTTTAGAACCCGCTCTGTGGACGGGAGCCATAGCTAAGCCCTTCTTCAAAGTCTCTGTGGGGAGTCCTAGTTTAAAGCCCCAGACTTGGCAGATTCCTCCCGAGTCGAGTCTGGCTTGGCTAGAACACAAGAGTATGTTCCCCGTTGGGCATAAACACTGAACCCCCAACTTGGAGAGCAGGCAAAGCATCGAGGCAGACTGCTTCATAAAAGCTCTCACCGCCGACTCAGAGACCACGGAGCCTCTGCCACAGGAGGCTCTACCTCACGCCAGGAGTACTCCTCCAGAGGGGCTGACGGAGAGGGGCACTGAAGGCCCTCTTGGGCTGCCAGGAAACAGGAGTCCAGGCAAAACAGGGGCAGAAGTCCATGGCCTCATGCGTCTGCAGGCCACCCTTGACCCCCTTTCCTGGGCCAGCTGTGCTGTCACGGGAACAAAGGCTCAAGACCCTAAGAATCTCGGCGAGGCCCTCACTTCCTATAAACCGAGGACGGGGCGCCTCCAGCCGAGAGGCTGCGGTGAGTGCCACTGATTGTTGGACGGGAAACACTCCAACCTGCCTTTCAGGTGGACTCACAGGGCCACAGGGCGTCAGGGATTCTCTTTCTTCTTGCCCTGGGCCTAATATTTCTCCCTTGGGCTTTTGGGTTGTGTATGGATACATGGTGTACAGTATGGGACTGGGGCTCACTGCTTTGGGAGACGGGCCGAATGCCGCTCAGACGTGCCGATCACAAAGCTCTCATTTATGCTGGGCCACAAGGGGGTAACTCAGACTCGGGGGCACTGGTGGTTGTGGGTCCTTCCTTCGGATAGAGACACAACAAAAGCAAGCCTATGTCCTCTTCCACGTGACAGCCCCTTTGTAGCCCCCTCTGCCCAGTGATCGTTTCTGAGCGTGCCCCGGTCGCGGCCAGCCCCACCAGCTAAAGGAGCATTCCTGTCCTTGACCTCAGCACTCACTACTCTCACCAGTAGACCCGATGCTCCTTTAACAGGCCCTGGCTCTCCCCGGGCATCCCTTGCTAATTCTGCTGATGATTTCATGGATGCATGTAGTTATTTAAATTTTGTTTCCACGGATGCATTTAGTAGCGGTCCTGGCTAGTCAACAAGAACTCTCAGGTCCTGGTCAGGGGACCCTGCATTTTCTCTGCTCTCCACCAGGCCGTGTTCGCCTGGCTTAGGCATTGGACCTCAATGCAGCCCTCAGACCTTTCCCCACAGACTGTTAGGTTGAGTGGGCATGCCGGTCCCCATCAGCTGTCCCTCTGGGCCTCGTCACAACCAGCTCTGATGGGCATCTCTTGCCTGTCTTCCCCGGGGAAATCAGCAAAGCCATCAAACAAGCTAGGTGCGAAGCCAGGGAGGGCCCTGAGGCATTGGAGAGCTGCCCACCTTGTGGCCGGGGAAGGTATTTTCCTAAGAGGGGTTCTCGATTTGAAGAGATGGCAACGGACCTTGTTGGTCTGACCCGGTAGCATGGTAAGTGCCTAAGGAGACACAGGCCAGCCTGCGGGCTTGTGGGCAGATCCATGGGGGCTCGTGTTCACGCTAGACTTGGGTCAAAGGGCTCTGAGAACCGTGCTCACTGGCCCACCGCCACCTCATCTGCCTTCTCGGTCACTGGTTTACAGGGTCTGGCCCCGAGAAAGGGGATCAGCTGGCATGCCGACCAGGGCCACAGCCACCCTTTGAGGGACCTCAGGGCTGGGGGCCAGGGTGCTGCCACTCTGCCCTCAGCTCACTGGGAACACACACTCCCCTGCCGGTGCAGGGGGTTGGGGGAAGGCAGGCTGTGAAGGTCACCAGGTGGCAGCCCAGGAGAGGGCAGGGGCAGAGGGCCGTGCAGACACTTACAGAGTAATGGTGCGGGAATGGGCTGAATTGGTGAGGCGGGCACAGGCTGGAGAAGTATCCCGAGTGGGTCTGCAGCAGGAGAGAAAGCTCAGTCAGTCCGTCAGTGGGCGCTGGCAGGGAGCGTCAGCAAATGCACATGAGGCAGATTTGCCATCCACCACAGAGGCTCGGCCTCTGAGCCCAGCCCCTTTGGGCCTCAGGCCTGGACTC